GCTCAGCTCAGCAAAAAAAAGAATGAGATTATTTATTATACTCCTGTACTCATAAGTCACAGAGAGTAAATAATTTTTGTTTGTGTTTTTACATGTAATGTTCTGTTAATGTTTTTACTAATGTTCTGTTAATGTTTGGTCTCCGACTATAAAATTGAAAAAGATTTTTTTTGTTCGTGTTGAACTATCTTGTAAATTTTAAATAATTATATGTCAATGTTATTCATATAAGTACATTATGTAATATGTAAGAGCAAGCAGATAACTGGGCTCTTTTTAAAAAACTTAATGAAAAAAAAAACTTATTCATTCTAAAACAATATCTTCTGTAAATATAACCCTCACTAATATTTTATTTTACTTACTGGATCATCGGGTACGTCTTCGTACATTTTTCTGTCACCAAATCTTCATATTATTTTCTGGTGCGAAATAAATTTTACCATTTAATTTCTTTTTATATTTTGAATCAAAATGTTATGAACATATAGTACGATTTGTTAATATACATATTTGAAATAAAAACTTCTTCAGTCCATTTTCTTAATTTTCATTCTGCAATCCACTTTCACTATATCTAGGAAAACAGTAGATTATATAAAAAAATTCATTTTAAATATCGGATGGTACATTTTATTAAACACAAACTAATAATGCCTCACATTGAAATATGTTTTGCTAACATCAACGTGATTTACAAATAATGACATTGTAATTAACACCCAAGGTTATAAATGTTCAATTTCAAACGCCATAAGCTATTGTAATATAAAAATATATAGACATATATTTAATTTTAATATATGAAATAATGAGTTCTGTTTAAACTTGATTTTTTTTTCGATATTTCTAATGAAAAAATATTTTGAAAATTATTAACTTACAAGTTTTTTTTTATGTACCGAGAGGAAGGGTGAAAAAAGACACTGCTAGGCAAAAAGCAATTAGTAACTTTAATCCACTAAAAACACCCTCCTCAAAATAAATTATAAAACTAGTCTGCGCAACGCAGCCCCAAAACTGAATACCGTAAGCCCAGACAGGCTTAAATATTTGATTATATATCAAAACTTTGTTGTATATTGTCAAATTAGAACGCCTTCCCAAAAGCCATTCAAACTTTCTGTATTACTCATCGAGTAGAGATCTCTTTTTCTTTGTGTTCTCCTTCCATCTGAGCTTTGCGTCCAACGTTATTCCCAAATACTTCGCCGTGACGAAATTAAGACGCCATTTATCCGAACCGAAAATGAATTGTCAATTTTCCTATTAGTGACATTCACGTGTTCTGATTTCACCTTGAAAGTCCATTTTAAAATCTCGTCACTGGTCTTTTGTAATTTTTGTGTAAATTCATTTTCATTTCGTCCTATTGCGATACCTGCTGTATCATCAGCAAATATAGTTGTTGTCACTCCTTTCGATTTAGGAATATCACACGTGTATAACAAGTATAATATCGGGCCCAATATACTTATTTATGATACCCCCGATCTGATATCCCTACGCGAAGAGTACTCCTCTTCCTGTTTAACTCGAAATATCCTGTTAGTCAGGTAAAATTCGAACACGTTAACATACGGCCTTGGTAGTAATTGTCTAAATTTTTTTATTAATCTACAAGGCCAAACCTTACCGAAGGCCAGAATTATTATAGAACATTCAATCCAAAAATATTATAGAACATTCATTGTTTTTTCTTCCAGTGAATTTTCTGTTAGGGTAGTTATTCTATGAATTTGATCTATGGTTGAGTGGTTCCGGCGAAAACCAAATTGATGATTCGGGATTAACCTTTTACTTTCAATTATAGGCTGAAGTCCTTTCAATAAAAGTTTCTACAGCAGTTTTGTAATCATCGGCAACAATGAGATTGGTCTATAAGAAGTCGTTCTGTTCATAGGTTTTCCATGTTTGTGCAGCATGATTATCTCTGCAATTTTCCAAATGTCAGGCGCGTAATTAAACCTTATGCACGCATTTATTAGGCGCGTAAGCATCGTTAGTAGGTCAAATCTCGGGGCCTTTTTAGGTTTAAGAATCCTGATTTTCTCTATATCTCTTTCCTTGACAATTGGAATAGTCATGCAATCCTCAACAAAAGCAGATTCCCCATTTTCATACACGCCCTGACTGTTATGCGGACAGAATATGTCAGCCAAAAGATCCGCAAACGCATTTGCCTTGCCCTTGTCAGTTTTTGCCACCGTTCCTTCTTTGTTTTTAATAGGAGCGAGATGTTTGATAGGTTGCTTCATTTTCTTTGTTGTCCTTCACAGTGAGTAATTGGTTTTCTCACACGCCGTCAAATTTTGAACATAATTGGCAACCGAATCCTCTTTGTATTTTCTAATACAGCATCTTAGTTGCTACGATTCACGATTATATTTGGTTTTATCAGTAGGATCATGCGTTTGCTGCCACCTCTTTCTTTCCAGCCTGCTTCGTCTTACTTTTGCCAGTATATGTAGGGGATAGTTAATGTCTCCCCTTCTAATAGCATTAATTTTTGAACTACTCCAAGTCGCATTTTGAATAATTTTAGCAAAGTTTTCGGCCTCCTCATCTATGTGCTGGGTCGTTCTTATTCTTTTCCTTTGATCTATTTGTCGTTCAATCTCTAAACGAAATCTTGACCAATCTGCAGTTCCATTTGTCAGCGCAGGTTTCGGCCTTTTCATTACAATATTTTCCTTAAGTTCAAGTATAACCACTGAATGATCGGAGTTAAGATTATAGTTATCATGTACCTCGATGAAATTTTTCACAATCTGTTTTGTTATGAAGAAATCTATTTAATCTGGACACTTATTAACATCGGTTAGACAATACGTTGGCTTCGCAGTAAAGTGAAAAATGCACCCCGCGGCGTCAATTGCTGTCCTAAGTTCTTTTCCTCTAAAGTCACCCCAGTAATATAAACCCATCGCCTAGGTCGGCCAGAACGTTTTGAAACATTTCTCCCATCATTTTAAATTTGGGGTGACAATATAATGCAGCCACTCAAAATTTTTTCTTAGTCGAAGTGATCTGAACCGCCGTCATTTGCATTCTCTGGTGCAGATCGTAATGCACTATATTTTCTTTTATTATTATCGTCGTTCCACCATTCGCTATATTTTCAAGGTGCTTACAGTTGTAAATTCTATAATCTGGATACTAAATCCTGCTTCTTAAGGTCATATGTATTTCAGTTACGAGACACACGTCTATATTCTGTGTATGTAGAAAAATTTTAAGCATGTCCTTTTTATTTGTAATAGCATTGCAATTCCATGTTGTTATTTTAAAATTACCTCATGCCATCATTTACCAGGTCTATTGGTATTGGATTTTTTCCCTTCGCTCTTTAAAGTGCTCAACCTCTGAGAAATTTTGTCCATCATATTTAGCATGGTTTGCATCATATTTCACATTTTATACAAAACATTCACGTCACTGGCCCTTGCTTTATTGCTCATGCCATTGTCATCAGTTGTCGTTTGGAGAACGTCCTTGTATGTTACATATTTTGAGACTATTCTTGAAGTGAATTGCCTCGGTGGCCAGTCAGAATTCTTCTTCAAGTTGTTGTTGCTGTTTTTATTTCCACGTTTTTGAAGTTCCTTAGCTACAAGGCGATCCATTCATGGCCCTGGTAAGATTCCAGTAATTCATTTCGGAATTTACAATTAGCTTATAGTCAATCACATTACTTATGACTAGTGAAGGCGGCCTAAAGTTTTTCGTGATATCGCCTCGACTTTTAGAATCAGGATTTCTCTCAAGCTTTCTCAGCGTTGATCGTCACCTGAACCACTTCCGGAGATGATTCCGCTTTTCTTTTTTTACTGAACATCTTTTGATTTAGGATCCAATCTGTTTCTCTGACGAGTTCTTCCTCATCTGTTGAGTAGGCGTTTAAGATTGACCTCATCTGCTTTGCTTGTGGTGTAGCGTCGTTTTCTTTATGACTACTATCAATAGACTTATCGTTTGTAATTTGCACATATTTCTCTTTCTTTAGCTTCTCATTCTCAGCCCTCAGTTGAAGAACCGTGTTTTACAAAGCCACGCAGAGCTGTTCTAGTTGGCTAATCCTTTTATGTATGTCAGCATTCTGATCATCACTTTTTTTTGGCTTGGGCTTTACTTATGTTTATTTCCTTCTTGCTTTGCCACAGAATCCGTAGAGCCGACATCCGAAGAGGGTAGATTCTCCAACGTAGTTAGATTACCACCTGGGGTATTAAATCCTTTTGTTTTCTCCATTGCACAAATGATTCATGTTTGCATTTTATACCTCCTGCAGACCAGACCAGAGAGCCGTCTATTCTAAGTCAGACGCTTCTGGATTTACCGTCCGCGCGCTTCCTAACTAACGAAACCCAGTTTTAACGCCGAGTACTCGATTTCACCCGCTCTTGTGAGCCTTACTAAATAAGTTTCTCAGGACACACCCGGCAGATAACTATGCTACCTACCTTCTGGGAGGTGAGAGCCGGATTTGTTGGCAGGACTGATGTTTTCAGAGGGTATTTCCTTTAAAGCATTTACAGCTTCACTTGTTAGAAAAACGTGAAACCGACTAGGGCCCATGTCAACCTTTCTCTCCTTACAAGTTGCGCATATTTATAATAAAGAACAAATGGGCCTGCTACAATTTTTGACAATGCTTGAAACAAAGAAAGAGACAACTGAAAAGAAATCGGCTTCATTGCTTTCTTAAGACAACGAATTGAATAAATATTTCTTTTAATTATTGAAATGAATAATATTCACATGTATATGGTGTAAAAAAAATATTTCTTTTTGCAAATGGGAATAACAATTTAGAACTATTCACCTTTTTTTTCAACATATTTTTTTTTTTCACTTGTTATATTTTTTATAAGTTTTTATAAAACAATATTCTTTTTTTAACATTTATTAATAAATATTTTATGATTTTTTATTTACAAACTGCACTAATTCTATAAATAAAATAACAAAATCTTCTTAGTTTACATTTTATATAGCGGCGCGTAATTTTCTAAGAAAAAAAAACAACAACAGTTAGCATTTAATGTTAATTTTAGTTTGACAATGCTCGCGAAGAAAGAGACTTACCTGAAGATACGTTTTTTTAGGGAGAATAAGCGAGATAGAAACAAAGATGCTCCTTCCTTTAGTATTTCTAATTCCTTATCTTAAGATGCTCCTCCCTTTGGTATATCTAATTTCTTGTCTTGAGATACTCCTTCCTTTAGTATTTCTAATATGTTGGTTTCAAATATTAATGTATGATTTATTGATGCACATTTTGTGTTTTTCAAAACAGAGATCAGAGCAAAATAATGTAAAGAATTTATGTACATATGTAATTGTTTCTTACAGCAAGAGCTAAAGTTTCCTGTTGATTCTTGTTGCCTAATGTTGTAATAATAATAATAAAATCCTACTCTATTTTTAGGAAATTAACAAGACACATATGTACCTATATAAGTTTAGGTAAAAAACTGTGGTTGTAACGTAATGTAAGTATATTAGTTCTGTAAAGCGAGGGATGAGTGTACAGTTACTTGCATATTATCTTGATCTAAGTTACCCAATAAGAACAGCTCTTCACTTAAAAGTAACGAAATGCTTGCAGTACCACAAAAATGTTGAATTTCCCTTTTTGTGCACGTATTTCAAGAATTTTAAATAATGATAAATGAAAATGTTACTATAGATAATAGATATTTGAAATATAACTTCGGAATTTCACATGCTTTATAATAAGTATAAATTTATTTTGTTATTTCTTCTTAAAAATAGCCATTTCGATTTAAGAAAAAACATATAAAATAAGCTCGTGCTTTCAAGTTTATCTTAGCATTTGGACTAGAACAAGACATTATCTGAATTATCGGAAATCCCATACGTTTTCTACTAACATACATAGACATGATTATTGAACACTAGTATTATTGTTTTTTGTTAAAACGTGTTTTAAACAAAAAAAAAGACAAATAATTGCTTAGTATAGTTTATTTAGGCTCTTATATCTACATAGTCCTTTAACAAAACCATATAATTGATGCAATGGTTAAAACAAAACTGGGATACTTTATTATTTTGGAGCTTAAAAAACGTATGTATATTTAATTAAAAGTATCATTTTCATGTAGCTTCTAGGAAAAACATTAAACTTATACACCTTAATGTATTTTTACTGCAAATATGTATATAATTGCAATTGCAGTGTGTATTTATATACACATGTTTTTTTTTGTAATTAGAAATTAGTCGCATATTAATTGTATTTATTTTTCAGCATAGTCTTATTAATTATTCATAACTAAATTAGTAAAATGACAACATACTTTAACATTAACTTTAACTCTAGGAATTAGTTCCGCTGCTACATTATTGGTACTTTCGTTTTGTATTTTTTTTATTATTGAATATTTCATGTTTTATTTTTATTATTATTCTTAAAATTAATTTAATAATTACTATTATTCTTAAAATTTTCACCGATATTCGTATTATTTTTTTCAGCATTACTGCTGTTATTATTATCGTTACCGCTAAAATTTTTACAATTGTTAGCATTATTGCTTTTGCTTGTGTTAAATCTGCTATTTGGGTCTACACAAGTTGGGAAGTGAGACATTTTATTCGCATTCTTGATACTGCTGCTATCGCTTGCGATAATAGCAGCATCATAATTGCGAGCATCCTTCTTTTTAATATCAACTGCGACATTATTTTTGTCGTAATTTAAATTTTTACCATTGTCGTTGTTCTGGTCACTTCTAATATTGACATTATCATTAATGCATTTGGAGTTGTTGGCGTTGTGAAAGTTCGTGTCCACGTTACTTTTATTTTTACTGTTACTCTCATCATTGCTTTTAGTACTTTTGTTAAAACTACTGTTGTCATTACTATCGTTTCTATTGAAATTATTATCGTTATTTTTACAGACTTCATTTTGATTACTTTTATCATTACTGTTATCTGAAATGTTTTTATTAGTACTTTTGCGATCAGCCTCATTCTCTCGTTTTATGTTATTTGTATTGTTTAAATTTTTGTCAAAATTATTGTTAGCAACTTGTTTATTGAGTATTGTACTGTTGATGGATTTTCTGTTAGAGACGCTGTGAATATCTTTTTCATTATCATTCGTATAAATACTTTTAATGCTACCACTGTTTTCACCATTTACGTTTTTATTACTTTTATCATTTATTTCACTGGAATTATGTTTATTGGTATAACTGACATTATAGATATTTTTGCAATTATCGCTGTTTAAAATGTTTATTTTTTTATCACAACTTATATTAATACGACTTTTAACATGGATTTTGTTATCGCTATTATTATAAGAGCTAGAACTAGTATTATTGGTGGTACTATTCGAATTGTTTCTTACGATACTAGAACAAGTAGTATTTTCGACCATGTTCTTATTTCTTATATTATGACACTTGTTACTTGCTATATTAGAATTATAATAACCACTATAATCGTTGTAGTTATAATGATTGTAATAATTCTGCTGATTATCACTGCTGTCGTTATTAATGCTTGTGCTATCGTTTCTAAAATTGGTATTATTATTAGCACTATTATTATTATTACTACTGTTATTTTTATTACAATTATCATAATAATTATTACCATCACTATTTTTGTTATTACCATTACAGTTATTGTTATTACTGTTACAGTTATTGTTATTATTACCATTATGATCATTATTATTATTGTTGACATTTTCGTTTTTACTATTATTATTATTACTATTATTAAAATTTAAGTTATTTTTATTATAATTATTATTATAATTAATATTATGGTTATTATCATTATTAGAGCTACTATTATTATTGTTACTATTATTATAATTATTATTATTGTTACTACTATAATTGATATTTGTATTGCTGATGTTGGCGCACAAGCTACTAAGATTGGTAATTGCGTTACTAGTTGTTTCATTTCCATTAGCCGTTTTATTATATTTCAGACGATTTTCTTTAACAGTTTTCCGCCAGTCTAACCATTTAGCAACATCTGGATTTTCAATATTGCCATGCTCCTCCAGTTTCAAATAGTATGCCTCTCGCAGTATCTTGAAAGCTTGAACACTATGATATGGTAATTGCGTAACTGGATCAAAATATTTTGCAGGTAATCTAAAAAAAAATGTTTTCACATTCAGATTTTAATTGTTTTGCTGAGCATTTAAGATTTAATAAACATTTATTAAATGTATAAGATTTAAATGTCAATCTAAATATAATTTACTAACTTTGTAATAGCACAAAGATAATTTCCTTTTTCTTTTTTTACTTTCGGCTTAAATATTGAATTAAAATATTTTTCATCAATATCATTTTCAAACGTAATGAAAGTTCTTTCACACTTTTGTTCTGAATTTAAAGAACTCGATGAGTTAGATGGAGAAATTTTAATATCCATTGCTTCTTGTTCCTCTATTTTTGTCTCTTGTTTTATTAAAGCCAATTTATTTATATCATTTTGTTCAATCACCGGCATGGTTGTTGAGTAATATCTAATTACAGGACCAGAAAATATTCTCTTTGTTGGGCGAACTTTCTTTTTTTCTGATTCCAATTTTAAAAATTTCTCTATAACAAATTTGCATGTAAAATACTTTTTCAAAGTTATTCTTAATCAAATAGATTGAAACTTACCTAGCGATTTTAAATTTTCTTCCTCTGTAATTAGAGCTTCTTCTAATAACTCTTCCTGTGTGGGCATTACATATTCTTCCATTTTTGTTTTTTTTTTTTTCATTTTAGCTTCATATTGTTTTCTTATGCGGTGTCGTGTCTCTTCAGATTTCAGGGCAGTTGATGCTCTAATGGACTTTCTACCTGAATCTAGTATAGTAAATTTCGGAAGTAGCTTAACTGCCTTTTTGGTTTTCATTCCTGCTGATTTTGAGATACGTTTTTTTGCTGTTGATTTTCTTTTCGATGGAGGTTCTTTATAAGCTTTAGTTGAGATACCTTTTCTCTTTCTAACCTTTGATTCTTCTTCATTATCAGAAATGGGTTCATCATTTTCATCTATACTAAAATCTGAATCTACGATATCTTCTTCTTCCTCCTTTTGCCTAAAATAAATATGTACAATAATTTTATCAACAATATGTTAACAATAGGTATATGATTTTTTATATACACATAATCTTTGTCATCAGCACTTTCAAGAAAGCCACCATAGGAAGTGCGATAAAATTCTTCTTCTTCTTCATCCAACAATTCTGCGATTCGATTACCAGCATTTGCACGTTTTGGTCTGCTAGCCATTATGTAATTGTTACTTTTTTAACAAATAAATTATTCAATTAAAAATATATTCTCTCGTGAGTACTATAACTTGAAATATTGAAGTTGTATAGTTAGAAGAAATCCAAATTTTTTGCGTTAACACCGCAGATGACATCATTTATAGCTTGTAGTAAGATGCGGAATGTCAAACATAGATGTTGCTTCATAACTTAATTTCAATTATATACCACGGCTAACAGAACTGATTTTTTGTATTGACAAGTTACATACCACAATTTGTTATAAAAGATACTTTATTCTTTTCTATTTTGGTCTTTGACATTTCTGATAGACTCAATAAAGACACTCAATAGAGTAAAAAAAAATGAATTCACAATAAAGTAAAAACGAAATGTATGACATTTTTTAGAGTGCAATTTTTTCCCTACGAAAAAGTAGTTTTTATTTTTAAGCCTGATGTACTACGTATTTCTTTAAACTTTTACATAAAACAGAACAGTTGCCAATCTTTCAATCAGTGTTGTTATTGTATTGAGTTGAAACTAATTGCAATAAATATATTATCCTAATTTCTACTTTTGTTGGTATTTTGTATATTTTTTTTTGTTTTAAAAAATCAAAGTTTTCCTTTATTACCTAAGGCTAATACATATTATCCAATATGTATTAACCTTAAATACTACTTGTTACCTCACTTTATTAACAAAAACAAAATTATGATATTTCAGTTATTATAGGTCTGTTTGGGATAAAGCTCTAAGAAGAAAAACCATCACGAAATTTCTCGCAAAAAGAAATAAATTCTCATTTAAAAAAAAAAATAAACCAGACAGAAAACTTGACGTGATAAACGTCAAATTTCAAAGTATTTATGAAACATAAACAAATATTTTTTGTTTATACCAAAAATCGAAAATTTTGGGTTATAAAAATGTGAAACTTAGAAAAAATCATTTTTGAATCCATTTTATTTATTTTATTTAACTTTTAATTAAAAAGCTTCGGCGAAAAGTATTATTGTTGATGACATAACCATATTGTTGATGGCATAAAACCTTCTGACATAACCACATATGTATTGACAGCTGTAAGATTTTAAAGTTGTTAAATTTTACTTTATAAAACTTGAAAAAACTTTAAACATTGGAAAAATGAGAATTTCATCGTTTTCTCTAATTTTTGTTCAAAAAGTATTATCCCAGAAACTTTGCATGCAAAAACTTCAGTTTTTAAAAACTTTCTTATACCAGACAGTCGTTATATGTACATATCTGTCTATCAGTTTCAAAAACCCAACATTGCCATTTTGTGAAAAATTTTATTTATGCACGCATAAAATAGAATGTACGGGCTTTAATTTAGATATAGTACACGTAACAAAACGAGCTTTTCCCTTTAGAAAATGTAGCAAAAAGTGTGCTTTCGGTATCAGAAACACTACATTCCCATAGAAAGCATGTGTTTTTCAAAAATCCACAATTCATTTGCTTCTTCGTTCCAAAATTAAAAAAAAATATAATGTCAAATAATTAAAAAAATTTGGCGACTTTTTCCATTGTAATAGTTGATAGCAAAAACAATTAACTTCAAAAATCCAAACTAATTGCAATAAATTGGTAATAAAAACCAAAGTATATATATTTAAGAAGTAGTTCCATGCTCCGTTTACATCACACTAATGCAATTTGTAATAAAATTTGTTTACAAAAAATTTACTGAGCTAAAAGAGCTAAGCTATATACCTTCTTATTTTCATTTTTATACACATAAGAATTTTCGGAAGAGGGAAGGAGTACGCAATAGGTGTTTACCACTTTTTTTCAATGTATTTTAAAAGGCGTAAAAGGCATTCTATTCGTATGTAAAGTATATAGCAAAAGGCGTAAAAGAGCATTTCTGTAACTTATTCCACTACAAATGGCAAAAATTGTGTATCCATGTTATAAAAGTGAAGCGATTTAAAAAAAATTTGATTATTAAAATAAAAAAAAATGATTATAATTTAAATAACATAATTTTAAGAAATAATAAAAATAAATTTTAAAAAGACGAATAATATTAAATGAAAATTTTAATTTGTAATTAATAATATCGTCAATTACAAATACATATACATATATACTTAAGTATTATGGATTTTTTATTTCTATCTTGTCTTTACAAATTTAAAACGCATATTTCATATGAAAATATGTACATCCATTAGTGTACCCATTTTGACACCTTTGTGCATCTTTTTTTTTTTTGCAATTTTTTTTTTTAAATTTTGTACTTTTTTTTTATCTACAAAAAAAATTATACTACTACATTTACCTAACAAATATTACAAAACTGATTTTTCCAATTTTTACAATTAAGTTTTGAGAAGAATATATTAACACAATGACTTATGATTTTTTAATTAATTGTAATAATTTTATATCCACTTTCTGTTACGAGTAGACGTATGACGAGATATACATACTTCAAAAGTTTTTAAGTCTTCGGAGAAAAGTCTTTTTGAATAATATCCTACCGCATCTTACAGAAAGTGAAATCTTTAAATATTTTTTTCAAAATAATAGTTTTTTTTTTAAAGAATAAAAAATATTAATATTCTATTTAGCTCGGCTTAATTTCAGAAAGTTATTGCAAAAGTAAAATTAAGCACGTTTTTGCACCTTTTGAAATTTCCCAACGGAGGTAGTTCGATTCGTTCCACTCCAATAGTTTTCGTTTGTTTGCCGTTTCCCAATTCTCAAAATATTCTATTTTTATTGTATCAAAAACATCGAACTGAAATAAAATTAAATTAAGTTCGAATTTTTCGAATTTTTTTAGTTAACTTTTATAAAATGAAAAATAAAATGCTATGAAAAATAAACTTTGTTGTTATCAAAATAAAAATAACAAAATTTTTACCTAACTTAATTTAATTTTATATCAGTTCGATGTTTTTGAAACATTTGGTTTGTATTACAATATTTTTTCTTGCCTACACAACTCGTATTACCATCTATTTCTAGATAAAAATGGTATATTTTGAGAATTTGGAAGTAAAATTCAAACAAAAACTAAAGGAATGGAACGAGTCGAACTACTTCTTATAAGATATACCATTAATATGCAAGAAGTAATAGTAATTTATGTTTTAGCTGACGGATTATTTTCTTCAAATGAATTTCAAAAAACAAAAAGTCATACACTTAAAAAAGCAGTAAAAAGTTTTTTCCAATTTACTTAAAATACTATTTGAATGGACAATAGACCATTTATTGGTAGTGTGAAGAAGCTATAGATAAAAAGGCAGTAAAAAAAGTTTCCGTCCCAATTTAAAAACTTTTTCCTCCAAGAAACTTAATGTTTTTATAATAACACTTTTTCAAGTCATTAGCAGTATCTTTATTCTTGTAATTAGTAAAGGATGTGATATTAGGCATATATTATATGACAATACGAAGTTAGAATAAGAATATTTTTTATAAAAATCATCCATTTTTCTTAGCTATCTAATTATGGTTGAGTTATAATTAAAAATATATTAAGCTTTATAATTTTTATTGCTGAAATTTGTGATATCAACAAAACCCAACATTTGTGCTTGCATTAATTTTTATTTATGAGAACTTTTGATTTCACACAATATTTTTAATAGCAGGAAGTGTTGTGTTCTTTTTAAGGTGGATTCCCTGGTTTATCGCATTTGCAGTCAACTAGCTGATGTATTTTGCATAAAAATGACATTCTTGTTGAGTGTTGTGTTCTTTTTTAGGTGGATTCCCTGGTTTATCGCATTTGCAGTCAACTAGCTGATGTATTTTGCATAAAAATGACATTCTTGTTATTTTAACAAGAAAAAATTGAATCGAATTCAACTTTAGCTCAGAGGTTTTTTAAAGCGTAATTGAAGCTGATGAAGATTAACCGTAAAAATATCATCAGTCAATCAATCAACGAAAAAATGGAAATTTGTTTTTATTTTCGTCAACCACTTTTGACAGGAATAAAATAAAAAAATGGTGTGAACATGAGTTTCTGAATAAAATGGGCTGTGATCAGCTAAATATATATGTAAATACATTGCAAAGTTCAATATATTAATATTAAAATTAATTAAATTACCTTAATTATGCTTTCAACCTTTCCGAAATCGTTTTCATTTTGTCGATTTGGAATATTTTTTAGTGACAATCCTCAGCAATCCGCCAAGAACATTTGTTTATCCATCCGAAAGAAAATTTGTAAAAGCTTCTTCATCTTTTAACTTCCTCTCCTGAACCAAATTTTTATAAAATTTTTTGCTTGATCTTTCCGTTCAAATTGATCTGAATCCCTTGCGTTTTATTTGCTTTTTTGTGTATTTTTATATAAAACAAACATAACTTTCTCTTTGCCTTTATTATAGATTGATTTTTAATAATTCCCCAGTCATTTGTTTTTTGTCCATTTTATTTTTGAAATTATTATATATTAAATTGTTAAAATACTTATTTATTGCACTCCAAAATATTATATGTAATTAACTTTATTTTTTATAATTTATAATATAGCTTACACGCTTTATACATATACTGTACTACTGCCAAAACTTACTATTGTTTTCCAAAAAGTGTTAAAATAACTGTCATAAAAAAAATTGCTCTGTTTTTTTTTCAGACTAACCAATGAATAATGGTGATAAAGATATAAAAACCAAGAGATCAAGAGATAAAATATTTCTTTAAATAGCTTAGCTGAAAATCAACGAACCAATGAATTCCCGCAATGCTATATACATATGTTTGTATGAATGTATACCTATTACGTCACCAAGCTCAGATTGCAAATCAAAAATAAATTCAAAATTTATATGGAATTAAAATGGAATGTGTCATATTTTTAGCTTACTGATTCTACATATTTTTTCTAAATTTAAAATTTGAATTTCAAAAAAATCGGTTGGCAAATTAAATTCTATCTGAAAAACGCATTTAAAAAAAATTGCGATTTTTAACACAGCTAACCATTCCTGTCTTCCAAGTTGAAGAGGAGCGATACCGAATTAAAGAGTCAAATTTGTAAATAAGAAATTGGCTTTAAAATGAAATTGAAAAAAAAAGCAAAAAATAATTATCATAATCTAGATAGCTTTTAAAATGCTAAATAAATTGAGAGTCACAAAGAATACTCAAAAATATCACAAAAAAAAAACAAATTGGAATACTCTGAAAACATAAAACGTAAAAATTGTTTTTGTAATGTTTTCTGTTTGCAAGATTTCGGAAAA